GAAAAAATGGCTTTCTTCCTGTCTGTGGTCCATGTTAGCCTCTGTCGTGGATCCCATCCTCCTTCTTGAGAGCCTCTCTGATATGGCCTTTCCTGCTCTTTCCCATTTGTATTCAACAAGCTCTATTCCCTCACACCTTAAAAAGCAAAACTAAAAAAAAAGTCCCCCCTTGACCTCTAAACATCTCTGTAGCAAATGGTCCATCCCCCAAATTAAAAGTAAGCAAAGTATTTAAAACTTACAAACATTTTATGTGTGTATGGTAGAAAGAATAACAATAAAAACAAAACACGTATAACCGAAACCCAGGCTGAGAAATAGTACATAACCAATAGATTGGATGCCCACAGATGCCCCGCCCCAATCCTAGCCTCTTCTCCTACTAACGACTAATCATTTTCCTGAATTTTGTTTATCAGTTCCTTGATTTTCTTTGTATTTTACCATGTATGCATGCATCATCTTATATTGTAGCAGAGCGAGGCAGACGATAAATGAATAGGTAAAATATAGTTTGGAATGTTTTTAAGCTTCAGGTATCTGGAAGTATGCAGTATGTGTTCTGTGGTTTGTCTTTTCCCTCTCAACATTGAAAGATTCATCCATATTGATGTGCATAGCTGTTTCCTTCTTTTCCACTGCTTAGAGTGTTCTACTTAATGAATACCTACAATTTATTTATCCATTTGCCTGCCCATGGGTAGGCATTTGAGTTGTTTGCACATTGTGCTGTGAACATTCTTGTACACATCTCCCTTGCAGACGTGGGAGACTTTCTCCACGTTATGTATGCAGGAGTCAAATGGCTGGGTGAAAGGGTAGGCCCAACTTTTCAAGGAAGGTTGTATCAATTTACACCCTCCACCAGGCTTGTACAAGTGTTCCTGTGGCATTATTTTCTCTCTAACCTTTGGTATTCTCACACTTAAAATTTTTTTGCATTAAACTTTTTTGCGGGGAGAAAAGTTCTCTAGGTCTTCTGCCTCTGTCTTGCTGCCTCTGCTTCATCCCTTGGCCCTCTCAGTTTCCCAACGGCTGATTCTCAAGGGTATCAGAATTCCCTGGGGGGCTGGTTGAAATGAAGGTCTCGGGGCCCCACACCCAAAAAGCCCAGTGTAATGAGGAAGCTGTGTTTTTCACAAGCTCCCAGGAGATTCTGATGGAGCTGGCCACTGTTTCTTCTTTCTCTTGAGGTCTGTATCCTGTGAGGACCTGTACTCTGTTCTCTCTCTGGGTGAAAGCAGCCACTCTCTGGCCTCGGTTTCTATATAGATGTGCTGTCCTGGTCTCTGTCCACAGCCTGGGGGCTCCCCTGACTTCCAGACCTGTGACCAGCAGCTCCACTTAACAGCCTAGTAGCTCTTTAACCAGACATCCAAAATGGAGCTTGTTCCTATTCTCTAAACTAGACCACCCTCTCCAGAGGGATCTGATCCCATCCACCTCCTGCTTTGTCTTCCTCAAGGCTCTCAGGATACACTGCACTATCAGCTCCACCCCAATCCCAGCCATTTACATTTACATTCATGCTCTCCCACTCTCTAGGCTTTGACCTGCTGTTCACTGCCTGAAATCCCTTTTTAGACTTGCTAACTCCTGCCTGTCCTTCCGGTCTCAGCAGATAGTAAGGGGTGGGGACAGGGAAGAGCTAGGGTCTAATGGGAATACTGTGGCCCTCACTCCAGGATTCTTGCCTCCCTCTTATGTGGCTCACAAAGATACAGCTTGTGAGATTACCTATCTTTGGTAATACTTCTTGGTCCAAGAATCTTGCATTTCAGAAGCCAAGATCCTTTTATTCATTCAATAAATATATATTGAGCACTTACTTTGTACCAAGGCTAGGCATTGGAGATATAGCAATAAACAGAACAGAAAAGATCCCTGATCCAGTGGAAATTCTATTCTAGCAGGGCAAGCCAGGCAGTATACAAATAAGTGAAGTATGTAGTGTGTTTCATGTGACAAATGCCATGGAGAAAATTAAATAAAAGGTTGGTAAGGAAGGCTGATACAGAGATGGTGTTGCAGCTTCAAAGGAGAAAATCTAAAAGATAAAAAAAAAAAAAATCTTTGGGACCTAGGGCTTGATGATGAATCTGTAGAAATGACACCAAAAGCATGATTTATGAAAGAAAAAATTGACAAATTGGGCTTAATTAATGAAAAACATTTGCTTTATGAAAGACCCTATTAAGATGAAGAAAAGATAGGCTGCAGACTAGGAGAAAATATTTGCAAACCACATATCTGACAACTCACATCTAGATTTTATAAATAGCTTTCAAAAATCAATATTAAAAAAATCCAATGAGAAAGCGGGCAAAAGGCATGGAGATATTTCATTAGAAAAGATATACAAATTGCAAATAAGTACATGAAAAGATGTTTAACATCAGTAGTCATTAGGGAAATGTAAATTAAGATCACGATAAGATATAACCATACACCTATTAGATGATCTAAACTCAAAATTAGTGACAATACCAAATACTGTTGAAGATGTAGAGAAACTGGGTCTCTCATAAGTTGCTGATGGGAATGTAAAATGGTTGTGACAGCCACTCTGGAAAAACAATTTGGCAGTTTCTTGAAAAAAACTATACATTTACCACACAAACCAACAGTTGCACTCCCAGGCATTTAGAGAAATGAAAACTTAAATTTGCACAAAAACCTGTACACAATTGTTCATAGGAGCTTCATTTGTAAAAGTCAAAAATTAAATAACCAAAACATCTCTCAACAGATAATGGTTAGACAAACTGGTAATCTATATCGTGGAACACTACTCAGTAATAAAAGGGAGTGAACTTTTGTTACACATAATAATTTGGATGGAGTTCAAGGGCATTATACTGAATGAAAAAACTCAAGACTATCACAAAACATGATACCATTTACATAACATTCTCCAAGTGACATAATTATGAGATGAAAAGCAGATTAGTGGTTGCCAGTGGTTAGGGGCAAGTGTGACTATAGGGAATCTCACAAGGGGGATCTTTGTGGTGATGAGACAATTCTGATGGAATAATCTGTTGATTGCAGTGGTGTTTACATGAATCTACGCATGTGATAAAATGACACAGAACTACACGCACACATTGTACCAATACCAATTTCCTAGTTTTGATACTGTAATTATGTAAGTTGTAACCATTGAGGGAAACTGGGTGAAGAGCACTCGGGACCTCTCTGTACTATTTTTGGAACTTCCTGTGCATTTATAATGATTTCAAAATAAATTTTTTAAAAGTGTGTTGCATGTGACATGCTATGGAGAAAAATGAAATAAGGGTGGGGATAAGAAAAGCTAGTATGGAAGTGGTATCGCAGTTTTAAAGAAGGAGGTGGTCAGGAAAGACCTCGCTGAGGTGACAATAAAGCAAAGTCTTGAAGGAGGTAAGAGTGAGCTATGAATATCTTGAGGAAGAACATCGTAAGTGGAGGGAATAGCTTATGCAAATACCCTAAAATAGGTGTGTACCTGGCATGTTCAAGGAATATCTAAGAGGCCATTGTGATGGGGACTGTGGAAGCAACTGTAAGGACTTTAGCATTTGCCCTCCATGAACTAGGGACTCCTGAGCTGAAGAGTGACATGTCTAACATGTCTGCTCTTCCAAAAATAGATTTGGAGATGGGGGATGGTTGGGTGGAAGCAGGGAGACAGGAGGCTATTGCAGAAATCAGATGAGAGAGAATGACTTGGAACAGAGTGCTAGAAAGGGGATGGTGAGAAGGGGCTTGATTGTTGATAGTTTTGAAAGTAAAGCCAATGGGATTTTCTGAAGGACTGGAAAAGGGGTACGAGAGAAAGAAAGTCAAGCCATAGATTTTTGGCTTGAGTATCTGGAAGGAAGACAAAGCCGACAGTTGAGACAGGGAAGGTGGTGGAAGGAGCAAGTTTGTGGGCCAGGAGCATGTTAACTCTGAGAGGTCTATTAAACATTCTGGAAAAGAAGTGGAATTGGCACCTGAATATATGACTCTGGAGTTCAGGGAGAGGTCTGAGGTGGAGACAAACTTGAGGAAGTTGGTCTGAAAAATCAGGAAAGAAGTCTATGAAAGAGAAGCAAAGCGAAGAAAGAATTTTGAGGATGTGGGCGTGGTTAACTAGGTCAAATAATGTTGAGAGTTTACGTTAGAGGGAATTGTCTCTTGAGTTTGGCTCAGGCATCATGGGTAGGGGCAGTGAAGAGTGAAACCAGAGGCTGAGACAGTGTTGGGGATCCTTGAATAAAAGCAGATTCTTCTCTCTCCCCTCCCCCAAAGGAACACTCCATCAAGGTACTAGAACTGATATCCACCATCTGGGACTCCGAGCTGCACATTGCAAGCCTCAGACTCCTCAACAACCTTCCACTGCCTGACTTTGCACATCCACAGCTGCGAAGGGTGATGCCTGCCTTGATGGAGATTCTTCAGTCAAACTATATCCTGGCACAGGTGCCTCAAGACCATGGCCCAGGCCTTGCCCACCTGACCAGCCCTGGAACAGCATCTAGGGGGAAGAGAAAAGATTTGTGTCTTCTCTGCTCAGGCCTAGACTCACCTGCCTTCTCACACTTTCCTATTTCCTTTATTCAGGTGCAAGCCATACGATTGCTGAGCTCCCTGGCACAGAAGAATGATCTTCTCTATGATATTCTCAACTGCCAGGTAAGAAAGGAACTGAAGAGGGACTGATGGATTCCAACTCAGATATTGGGGAAGGAAGAATCATGGATTCTTCAGACAGACTTAGACCCAACAAGATTGTCTTGTTCCTCTTCCTGCCTCTGCGCTAGATACGTTGAAAACCATTTCCTCTTCTATTATCCCAATAGAGTCAGAATCCATTTTGTTGGGAGGGGAATCTCCTTTGAGTGGTTATCTAAACTCTGAGAAACAGGAACACAGGTCACAAAAGTTAATGTAGATATTTTGATATTAGGTAAAAATTCTAACCATTTTTAGGAATAGATAAAGTCACTTCATAATAATTAATGGTCCAGAAGGATAAAGCAACTCTAAACTTATATGATCCTAGTAACAATCTCAAAATATATAGAATATACTTGATAGAATATAATTGGAATGCAAGGATTTTTTTTTCAGTTTTATTGAGGTATAATTGACATAAAATTGTAAGATATTTAAAGTATACATTTTGGTGATTTGAATATATTTATATGTTGTGAAGGATTCCCATCACCTAGTTAACACATCCATCACCTCACATCTTTTTTGGGGGGCGGGAGCGGGGAAGGTAAGAACATTTATGTCCTAATCTCTTAGCGCATTTCAATGATATAATACAGTGTCATCAACTATAGTCACTATATGTTACATTAGAGCCTCAGACTTTATTCATCTTATAGCTGAAAGTCTGTACCCTTTTATCAGCCTCTCCCTATTCCCCCCTGCTCCCAGCTCTTGGCAACCAGTTTTCTCTGTTTCTATGAGTTTGACTTTTCTTTTTTTAGATTCCACATAAAAATAAAAGTGATATCATGTAGTATTTGTCTTTCTCTGTCTGGCTTATCTCACTTAGCATAATGTCCTCAGAGTCCATTCATGTTGTTACAAATGGCAGGATTTCCTTCTTTCTCATGACTGAATAATTATAAAGAAAAATTAACACATCCACCACCACAGTGGAAGATATGAAAAATTTATCTACTCTTTTCAGTAGTTAATAGATAAAAACCTAAAACTAATAAGGGTATACTTGCTGTGAACAACACAAATAAGCTTCAGCCATTAGATACACCCAGAACACTCTAATTAGAAGATGCTCATTCCTCTCAAGCACATAAAATATTTATAAAAATTAAACACACATTAAACTTTAAAGTTTGTCATATTTCACAGAATCAGTATTATTATCAGGTCACTCGTGTGTTGTGACCGCAATGTAATTATGTTAGAGGATGATAACAAAAGGAAAAATTTAAAAATTCTACAGTTGAATCTGAAACTTAGATATATCGGGGATTCAAGACTATAGGAAGATGGAAGAACGTTAGAACTAGCCTTGGATTCCATTTCCATCCTCTTTGCATCCCATCACAGGTACACTCCAACTTCCTGAACCTGTTCCAAGCCACACAACCGGGGAGTCTGCTGTTTGAGGTGCTGCTGTTTGCCGAGCGGCTGAGTGAGGGCCGGAATACACCCCACTACCGTGCTGTGAAATGGCATTACAATGAAAAGTCTCTGCATGAAGCTCTCTTTGGGGACGAGTCAAGACTGGCAGACCGGCTGCTTGCCCTGGTCATCCACCCAGAGGAGGAAGTTCAGATCCAGGCCTGCAAGGTCATAGTCAGCCTGCAGTGCCCCCAGGACATGCAAGTGCGGCCCTCCTTCTGCCAAGCCAGTCATTCCTACTTTAATGGGGAATAAAATTAAGGAGAACCAATAAAAATGAGGATGGGAGAGAAGCTTGAGGGGCAGTGTCTGTCCAGGGCTTTTCAGGGCTGGGTAGAGATTTCATCTAGCATATCCCCTACCCTAGAATATGACAAAGCATGGGCATATCTCCCGAAACACTTCCCCACTTCCTTGTTTAGGGGACAGAGTTCCTCCTTTTGCTGCTTTTCAAATTGGAATGTGGAGCCAGTGCTTTCAGGGAGCTTCAAGGAGAAGGCAGGTTTGGGGACTGAGGCCAAAGATCATCAACAGGAGACAGTATAGCATTGGGTTACTCAGGATGTGCTAGGCTATGCCACAGTAACGAACAACCTCCAAATCTTAGCAGCTTAAAAATGATCAAGGTCATTATTCACACTACATGCCCATCCGGTGGGGTGGTGATGGAAGGGCAGACGTTTGTTCCACATTGTCTTCTCTCAGGGACCCAGGCTGAGGGTGACACTTCATTGTGTTTCTGTGACTTCTAGAGAAGGAAAAGGAAATGTGACAGTCATCACTGGCTCTTAAAAGTTCCACCAGAAATGACGCTCACCACTTCTTCTCACATTTCACTGGCCAAAGGGGCTAGGGGATAACAATCTTCCCATGTGTCCAAGGGAGAATTGCAAATATTCGGTGCCAGCATTAATGACAGAGAACCACAGGCATATTGGAATCAGACTCTCTGGTGTAAATCCCACCTCTGTCACTAGCTGTGTGACCTTGAACAACCTATTCACTGGAGGCTCAGTCCCCTCATCTGTAAAAATGAAGTAATAATAGCACTTACCTTATGAGGCTGTTGGGAGGATTCTAAGCGGATTAAATTCTAAGGGGATTAATGAAGGTAAGGCACGATGTTCTGCCAGAAGAGGGTATTCTTTAAAGATTGGCTCTGAGGAGCTAGGAAATCATTGAGAAAATGAAATATTAGCACTGGAAATGTCGTTGGAAAGCACTGAGTTCCTCTCATCTCAGGGTTACAGGCACTAGCACCCTGAAATGCCACTAGAACTTAGCTTTAGAAACCAGAGTGACTGTGTAATGTAAAACCATAACTAGAATCTGTGGCAGTTGAGAAAACATCTCAAAGTTTCTGGCTTTTAGTGGCCAGTTTAGGACTGAACTACTTGAGATCTGTCCCTGACCCAGGACCTCATCGCTTGGGTGGGTAGGGGTGGGCTAGGAGGATGGTTATTGATGAGAGACAGCCAGTTCCTACTAAGGGACCATCCTCGTCATCATCTCCCAAAGTCTGACTTGTCACCTCTGAGTGACAAGTCAGCTCTCATCTCTCTCTTGAGTTCAGGCCTGAAGCTGCTCCTTCCTGCTACTTGTGTACACTGCAGTCACCCCAATGAAAGCTGTCAAAAGCCAACCTCACCCTACCCACCTCTCAACCAGTGCCCTTGTGTTCCCATGTCACCAGCTAAGTATTGGGCAACGCCTCCAACTGTACCTGCCCTCCACCTCCAGCCAGCCATCTGAACATCTCCCTTCTACCCAGTTCTCCAGTTTCTGCTGCTACCTATCCCCTACATCAGAACTTTTGCATAGTCGTTTTCCTACTCTCGTTTCCATCCTTTCCGGCCCTACACACTCCAGAATAATCTTAGTACCATACATCACATCATCCTTGAGAACCTTTAAGGGCTCCCCATTGCCTTAGTGAATTCTTCCTTAGCCCCCAAGCTAAGTCACATGATCTGACAAGTATAAATGTACTTATAGCAAAAGCAGGTTGAGTTTTGTTCTCAGAGATGGTCCCTGGACCCCTTTTGTCATGATTGCGTCAAATGAAGTAGCTTTACATTTAAGGCCATTCACAGTATGGTCATCTTGCCTTCCACTAACCTACCATGTCAAATCTCATCTCCAGCCAAACTGGAGTGAGCCAGTCTTGCCTCTGAGCTTTTGGTACAAACTTTTCCCTACCTACAATGTTCTTCTCTCTCCTTTGCACTGGGCTGTGTCCTATAGTATCATCTATTGCAGCCTGGAGCTTCCTTCAGTTATGCCAGCCTTTGGTGGTTGCTGTGGCACTTCTCAGCTAAACCTCTCACTTGGCATTTGGCAAATAATTAAAACTTGGATCTTATAAGCTTTGTTCTTCCTTTTGCAGTGGGTCATACATATCTGACTGTGTAGAAGCCTTGAAGGAAGAGCCTTCTCTGGGTAGGCGCGGATAACGGTTAGCTGGTGGAAATAGTTGGATGTGGGTAATGAGATGGAGAAAGTTATATACTGGTTATTTGTCACTGTGTAACAAATTATGAAAAACTTAGTATATCAATCTGGGTCCAATCAAGAGAAACCACACAGTAATTTGAACAGGGAAATTTTGCAACAGGGGATTGGAATATAATGAAATGATTAGTAGGGAGTAAAGAGAACTCTAAAGAATACACAAATAGCAGACATGGGATCAGCCCCTAACCCCAGGACTGAGGCTGAGGATAGGGCACCCAAGAAAGAGATACCCCACCCCCCAAGGCTGAAATCTAGACTTTGTTGAGGAGAACACAGCCTGTGGCTCACCAAATGGCAGAAAAGTCACTGTGGTGTCATGCCAGTGGAACTTACTGGAAATATGCCCTCTAGGATGCCCTCTAGGATGCTCTTTATGGGAGGTGTCATAACGAAGCCACTCTACAATGAAACTACCTGAGCTGGGTGTGGGGAAGTGGCTACCAGCTGGGAGCTGCCGGCCTCCATGTACTGCAGGCCCCTGGTGCTAAAGAACCTGTGAGTGCTGCGGGAATCTCATGCTGCAGAAGCCACGTGTACAGCAGTTACTGGAAGCTGGAGAAGCTGCAAAAGCTGCAGGAGGTAGAGGCACTTTTCTTACACTACTGCCCAAGGAGGGCAGTGCCAGGAGAAGCAGCTAGCCACTGGGAGTTACTGGCCACTCCAGGAACTGGACACTGGTGAAGCTGTTTGTACTGCCAGAACTTACAAATTGAGCACTCTAGAACCAGGAAGCAAAAACCTTTTCGTCTTGCAGTGTCCCTCCAGCTCCCTCCCTCTTAGCAATTTAAAACATCAATAAACATTTGTTATCTCTCACAGGAATTCAGGGGCCTATTGGCTGGGTGGTTCCGATTCAGTCGAGCTGTGGTTGCAGTCAAGTTTTTGGCCAGGACTGCAGTCATCTGAAGGCTTGACTGGGGCTGGAGGATCCATTTCCAAGGTGGGTCACTTACGTGGCTGATAAGTTGGTCCTGGCTGTTGGCAGGAGGCCTCATTTTCTCTGCATATGAATGTCTCCATGGGAATGCTTGAGAGTCTTCATGACTTAGCAGCTGGCTTCCCCATGAGTTAATCGTCCAAGAGAGAACAAGGCAAAAGCTACGATTCCTTTTCTGACCTAACTTTGGAAATTTGGTTACATTATCACTCCACCAAATTCTATTCATTAGAAATGATTCTCCAGAGAAGAGAGGAGAGAGGCAGGGACAGCCTTCCAGGGTAGGAATCCGCTTGACCTTTACCAGAAGAGAAACAGACCAATCAGAGTTTCCCTCTGATGGGATTATGGTAGAAGCTGGGGTGTTGGTAGATGGTATTTTGCCATCCAGACTGCTAATTACTCCTGCAACTGAAGAAGAAAGTGTGAGATGGAGACTCCAAGCACCACTAGACAGCCTCTAAGAGGACCCTGACACACACACACACACACACACACACACACACACACACACTCAGAGCATAGACTGCTAGACTGTGGCCCATGCCTGATTTTTATCCGGGCACATGGCTGCCTAAAATAGACAATACATATCCCAGCTTTTCTTGCAGCTAGGTAAGGCCATGTGACTATGGCTGGCCGATGGAATGGAAGAGTCCTTAAATGGAGAAGTCAGGCTCTTTCTTTCCCCATCCTCCATTCCACTGTGTAATATGAACAGGTTGGTAAGCAATCTTGGACTATGCTGATGAAGGCAATACTGATAGATGTCAGAGCAAAGAAATTAAAGCAGCCTGGACGGCTGAGGCTGTGGAGCTGCCATTTCCACGCTGCACTGTGTATGCATGGACTGTTAAATGAAAGAGAAATAAACTACCTTATATGAAGCCATTTATTCTGTGGTTTTACTGCAGCCAAATCTATTTGTATATCCTACAGCCCTGTCTTGGTAAAAGAGATTCCACTATTAGTAATTCATTTGTTTTATAATTTATTTATTGAAGAAATATTTATTGAGCTTTGAGTACTCATTGTATCCTCTTAAATAGGAGCTGGCAGATAAGCACAGAGCTGGGTACTAGGAAAGGGAGCAAGTTTGGTTCATCAAAAGATACAGAGAGGGGAGGTGAGTTTATCTAACTGCCTTGTCCCTCCCAGGAACATCTCTTGCCTTGGTTTCCACAGAGGGCATTTATCATCTTCTGTCTGTGAAGCAACTGTTTTTAGGGAGGGAGACTATGATTACCATGGAAGTCTAGAAGGAGATGAGCAAGTTCAAGTTACCAGTGACTGAAGGAGGATAGAACTCTGAAGCAGCACTTCCTGGTCCCTGGACATTTGTTCAGCAAAGACTGACAATGATACAGAGCAGAGGGAGCATTCTTTCTTGGTCATTGCTAGAAGAAAGTGACAAAAGAGTGGGTAAGTGGAAGCTCACCTTCCAGAGAGTGGGCCAGGGTGGATACATAACTGCAGTGCAGTTGGTAAGGGGGAAGGTTGTAGTGGAGATTTCTCCATCAAATTCCCACAGGAGGGGAAAAACCCTGACCACTGGAAATGTGATTTAAAAAACCCCCAAACCCAACATGTTAAATATACATGAAAGAGAAGCATAGAAATAAGAAGTATAGGTTGGCTTTCAAAGTGATCTGCCACTGTGAAAAAGTTTTCAGACAGGAGATAGAAATTTCTCTTCGCCTCATTCAGATAACCCATGCACTTTCAGACATTTTGTCTCTGTGGTGGCTACTGCAGATGGCTTGTTCAGTGTTGGTTCCACCTTCTCCTTGTGTGCCTTCTGTGCAGCAAGGCAGGAAAGCTGAACACTAGACTTTTTTGCAC